AAATGGAACACTGTATAAAGCTTTTTGTATGGAGAAGGTAGTACATTAAAATGGTACAGTCAGTTTTCTTTTGTGCCTAATTAGTATAAGAAATGTTTTTATGTAATACGTAAACATTATTAAAGTACTAAAGAACAAAGGGAATGCATGCTGTTCAGGTTATGCTATATATAGCATTCATGAAATTATATGCAAAAAGTATAGTGTTGAGCAATGTTAGTTACAAAAAAGTTGATATATAAAATGTATAATTATGAAGATAAAAAAGAACTATTACTCTCTCTATCTGCTTTTCCAGTTCTTTAGCAAGATATCGAAACAATAGTTAATAAGTCATTACATCTGTATAACCAAGGCTGAAATCTTCTCTTGTGAATAGTCTGCTCATGGATTATTTACCTATCTGTTATGATGGGAAAAATTAATCACCCATAATTACTCCATAAGTAAAAGCCCCAGGGTATTTATACATTATAAATGCTAGCATTTCTGATAGAGATAAATACAAAATATCATAGCATCATAAGATAAAGAAAATAGCCAATAAGTTATAAACTACTGATGGTAAGTGATTGTAATCAAACATCCTAAGATTGCAATTCTAAACATACCAAGTTATTTCTAACATAATTATGGAAACTGAATTTCTATTACATATGTTTGAATCAAACTGTAAAGCAGCATGTAGGCCCTACATATCATAACTTTTAATTGACTTTGAAAATTATCTTTTCTTTGCTAAGGGAAAAGAAATTATACAAGAAGAACTAAGGACTCCCTATAGTACAGTGGTTCTCAACCTGTGGGTCGGGACCCCATTTGGGGTCGAACGATCATTTCACGGGGGTCGCCAAACAATGCAGTCCGCCATTTTTTTCCCCTTTTCCTTAGCTGTGCTACTCCCCTTTATTCTATTGGCTTTTGAAAGCCAATAGAATAGACTCTCTTGAATAGAGTCTAATTCTATTGACTTTCAAAAGCCAATAGGAATTGTCCAGGCTGTCTCTGCCCTGCTGAGCCCGCCAAAAGTCCCATTCTGCAAACGGTGCTGCACCAGTTGAGCAGTCCGCGACTTACGACCGGTTGAGTAGTCCTCGACTTATGACCGGTTGGGGGTCGCGGCATTAAAAAGGTTGAGAACCACTGCTATAGTATGTATCTGAATGGCTGGATATTGTTTGGGAGAAGTCCACAGGGGAATTTCAGTGAGAATGAATGACTTTAAATTTCTCTGATACATTATGGGAAAAGATTGTTTCCTCTGTTTTATAACTTTATATAGAAAATGGGTTTGTAATATCTGCTTTAATGAATGTTACAATGTTGTACACCAATACGGGAGCTATTTTCCTTTTTTAATCCTTTAAACTCTTGAATGAAATGAGATTTTTTTTCTCTTGATTTTGATCTCTATGGAATGACTTGAGGTTATTAAATAGCAAGTATAAACTTCTTCAATAGAAAGCCTTCAGGATCAAAATCCGGCTCAAAGCTTCTGCTACTTTTGAAGTATCAGAGGCTGTCTGCTGCCTAAATTAAATGTCTTTGTTCTGCCATTGTTAAAAGGTCTGCCGCAAAGCACTTTATATAGCATTATGTAAAAAATATGAGGGCTAGGATTAATGTCATGACTCATTAGGAAACCAGTAAAGCAAACCTATCCCCAATTTATTCCCCCAAACAGAAAATCCCTACTCTTTAATGAAGGTTTAGCAAAGGCTTTGTTAACACACAGATCTTGTTTTCAACCAATCCCCAAAATGTATGACGGTTCACCAACACTGGCTTAGAATTTAGAACAGTGGTTCTCAACCTGTGGGTCGGGACCCCATTTGGGGTCGAACGACCATTTCACGGGGGTCGCCAAACAAGGCTGTCTGCCATTTTCCCCCCCTTTTCTTTGGCCACGCCCCTGGAACCCGGTGATGTATAAGTGGTTGGGGGTCACCACAACATGGGGAACTGTATTATGGGGTCGCGGCATTAGAAAGGTTGAGAACCACTGATTTAGAATAACAGAACTGGAAGGAACCTTGGAGGACTTCTAGACCAACCCCCAGCTCAAGCAGGAGACCCTATACCATTCTGGGCAAATGGCTGTCCAATCTCGTCCTGAAAACCTCTATCAATGGAGCACCCAGAAGTCCTGAAGGCAAGCTGTTCCACTGGTTAAAATTGTTGGTAGAACTGATTAATTCACTGGTAGTGCCTACTCTCTGATTCTTATACCAAATAGTATTAAGTATCACAATGCAGCATATATAAAACCTAAGCAGGGACTACACTCAGCATAACTCTCCCAAGATAAGAGATGAATCTTGCAGGATGCTCTAATTAAGGAAAATATAACGATTTAGTTATATAAGCAGCTGAGTTTTCACTTGTATTTGACGCATTTTGAGTGCAACAAAGGCAAGAGTCTTTTCTTGTCTTCTAATAGACTTTGTCCTTTGGATGAGTCCTACACAATACAATTCAATTCTACTGAATCCAATCCAATCAATTTCAATGCAATTCAATTCAATGTTATGGTTGCCCAGTCCATTAGACCAGAGTTCCCCAACCTTTCTGGCTTTACAGACTGGCGGTGAGAGGGGGGAGAGAGGGGATGATTCCACGCAAGCAGCTGGTAAGTGCACATGTGTGCAGCTCCATTTGCACACGCACCCACCGCTCACGCATATGGAGCATATGTGCACACACTCGCCCACCATTTCCACAGCCCGGTTGCAAATAGCTATGGCCCACTAGTGGGCTGGAGCCCAGAGTCTTAGGACCCCTGCATAAGATGAGATGAGATGAGATAAGATAGCGGACTTAGGATACAGCCCTGAAGAGAATCTGTGCTCAAGAAAATGGTGTTAGAAATATTAGTCCCAACTCGCACAAACTGGGTTCTATTAATAAGAAAATCAAGAATCCAGTTAAACAAAGGAGTATCAAAGCCTAAAAGGCCAGTTTGTCTACTAGATATTGAGGAATGATTGCATGAAATGCAGAACTGAAATCGAGAAACAGGATTCCCACATGACTGTTTCTTTCCTATAAGTACGCCAAGCTCAGATGGAGAACAGAAGTAGCATCCCCTGTAGAGCAATTTGGACGGTAAGCAAACTGAAGCGAGTCAAATGCTGGAGGGAGGCTGGATACAATAATGTCCTTTATCAGCCTGTTTTGAGAGGCTGATGAATGACATTATTGTATCCAGCCTCCCTCCAGATTCATAATGATGGATGAAAGTGCAACTAGACGGTAATAATTGAGACCTGTAACTGTAGACTTTTTTGGCACTGGCAAAATAATGGCTGTCTTAAAACACAATGGGACTACTGCCTGCTGCAGTAAAAGATTGAAAATGCTTACAAAAAAAAACAAGCCTACTAAAAATAGTTTAAAAAACACAAACAGGAAACCAGAATAAAACAATCAGAATAAATAAGCAGTACAATTATGACAGGAACCTCACAAATATATTACCAAAGACAGTAACCCCAGGCTTGGGACACAGTTGAGTCTTAAGTGCTTTGGAATCCCAGGAAACTGGGATGCTGCTTTGGAAAGGAAAGGCAGCAACACAAAAGGAACAATCAATCAATCAATCTGTTTATTACAGCCATAAGGCCAGACATAATCAAAGTATAACAGCAGTGACAATTTTACTTCCATATTTACAGAATATAAAACCATCAAACAATCAATGTACCGTAAATGCCGGCGTATAAGACGACTTCCGCGAGCGCTGAAATCGGTGCCAAAGATGGGAGTCGTCTTATACGCTGAGTCGTCTTATACGCCGGAAATACTGGTAGTTTCTGGCGTATAAGACGACGTTCTAGGAATGCGGCCCAGCTATAAAGACGGGGGTCGTCTTATACGCCGGGTCGCCTAATACGCCGGCATATACGATAATATAATCCGAAAAAGGAGCACAGACTAATTAGGCCACTGAAGCTCATGGGGTACCTTTGGGCTACTCACTCTCTCTTAACCCAATCTCCCTCACAAGGTTGTGGCGCAGAAAAAATGGGAGTTTTTTTTAGAAAACTTTTTTTTTACCTTAAAAAAAAGTTAAACAGTATGTTGACTTTAAAACAAATGTTGGAAATAAAAATATATGTATATAAATCTCATCATGGTATACAAGCATTGACGTGAATGAAAAATTCACCTCATCGATGGGATTTTCTTTATATAGTCTTATTCCAATGTCCTACAAATGTGTAGGATTGCTAGGCCACCATTCCTGGTTTGATATTTGATATATTGGCTGAAAGAGTTTCAGTCCAACTCTATGCCATTTGATTGCAGAATTTGCTATATTCTATATTAGGACTATTTGTATCAATTTTATACCATTCTTTGTCAAGTTAATACAAACAGCAGATGGGCTTTAATTTTATTATATAGTAGGTGGGGATTATTTTTTTTCCCCTACACTGTGTTTTTATTGTTTGTAAGCCGCCTAGAGTTGGTCTGAGCTAGTAGATTTTCTAAATGACAGTGAGAACAATTAATCAGTGGAACAGCCTGCCTCCAGAAGCGGTGAATGCTCCAATACTGGAAGTTTTTAAGAAGAGACTGGACAGCCATTTGTCCGAAATGGTGTAGGGTTTCCTGCCTGAGCAGGGGGTTGGACTAGATGACCTCCAAGGTCCCTACCAACTTTACTACTATTACTATATTTTCTAAATAAATAAATAAATAGTGGATTTTTAAAAATTTTGTAACCCTCCCCTCGTCCCCTCTAATTTGTTCAATAAATAATAAATCAACTTTTCCCTTTTCCCTCACGCTTTTTCCTTTTCCCTTTCTCCTTTTTTACTTTCCTACTGTTTTCAATTTTATTTTGCATGACTGTATTTTACATTTTGATCAGCTGATAAAACAATTGAAAAACCAACAGTAAATAACAATCAATAAAACAGAGGAAAGAGAAAAGCTTCCGAGACAGGAGAAGGGGGGGGGGGAGGCCAGCTCATCCCTGAACACCCTTTTCTCACCTGTGAGTAAGATAGCAATAAAAAGTCTGCCATTTCCCGGGTGGAAGAAAGTGTTAATTTCTATTTCACCCACGAGATTGGATTTCTCCCGAGAAAGTGTCCCGGTGAAAGAGGGGAGTTTTGTTTTGTTTTGTTTTAAAAAAGAGACTCCCGCACAAGGGTAGATTTGGCGGGTGGGATTCTTGCAAAAGCGTCATACTAAAGTTCGCGGCGCGCGCGGCTCCCGTGGCTGATCTTGCGAAGCGAAAAGCGGCGAGCACGCGAGTTCCCGCGCATGGCGGCGGGGGAGGGGGACGACGACACCTGATTGCATTCAGACTGCCTTCGTACCGTATTGTCTGTGCGATGTCGCGTTCAGTTCTCATTTGCCCGAGAAATAGAGCTGAGTTACTCCACTCCTAGAACCGTAAGAGTAGTGGATATATTGTGGTGAGGAAGATCAGAAGCCATTTCCTCAGAGGTCGAACAACTAACTTCTCTCATGTGTTCCTCGCTTGTCTCCCTTTTCTTCCAGGTCCTGCATAGAGAAAAATACGTACGAGACTGCACACGTTTATGAAACAGAGTGTGCCGTAAGCTGTTTGCTGCAACGTTATTGTTATTATTTTTATTAATAGGGGTATCGTTTTGAAAACTTTTTTTAGTTATTGCTTCTGTGCTTCGTTTCGTTCAGAGTAAGATAACGATTCCCACATTTTCTGTTAGACTTCTGTGCTTTTGACAGATGGCATTGGTCAGATACAAGTTGGCAGGCCATTATTAGACAGTAAAGTTGTGGGCATTATATAGATTTTGATTTAAAAGTCAAAAAGGTATTCAAGGTTCGGGATTTATTCCAACCATTCCGAATTAAGATGTGGGTGTGACACAAGCATAGCCTGAAATTTCTCTGCTTTATGATTTTTTTTTTAAAGTTTCAGAAATAACCCAGTTATTGGATTTCTGATTGACATTTCTACACATTTAAAAGGTTCTATAAACTTCAAAAAGGTTTCTTAATCCATCCTTTTATTATCAATCTTAAAATAATGAAAAAGCATCTGTGACACCATATAGTTCATCTTGGAATTGAGAGTACCTGGAAAGCTGTCATAGTACTTTTCTGCAGTATGTTTGTTATTTGTTCTAGGAACAAGCAGAGTTCAATGCTTAAGTTTAAAGAATTTCTCTTCCTCTCTTTTATTTTTTTGCTACACTGCTAAGACCCAGTAATTAAAACCAAATGTAAGTGAAAATATGAATTAGTGTGTGAATTGAGAATATGAATTAAAAATAAGAGTAGGAATTGAAGAATTATGAGTCTAGCCTAGGAATTTTTTGTATGTATATTTAGGCTATTGTACATGGAAGATGCAGTCATTGCATGGAATTTTCCTCTCAAGAATGATAGATCTGCTTAATGTCATAAGTATAATTTGTTAGACATTCAGTATGAGAAATCTTGATACCGTAGCTTTCCATGTAGCATCCTTTTTTTTTTCTTTAGTGCATTTTTTGGCTACTTTCACATTTCCAGCTGAACTTGTTAATGGAATGACAGGAAACTAAGTGCATCGGTTCTTGTGCTGATTTTCAGTGCTGAATGCCATTACGACAATTCTTTTTTGCGTTATTTTTACTTCTAAGAGGCAATATGGAAGACTTGTCACTGTAACAGATACTCTAAAAAAGCTGGATTTGACAAGAAAGTGTGGATATTGTTCTAAAAATTCAAGATCAAAGAAACCAGCATTTAGGAATGCTGTTATCGAGTACATGCTATTGCAATCTGTATCAGTTTTTTTTTTTTTCTGAAATTCTGTGAATCAGAAATGTTATCCTGAATGTAATCTCCTTTGGGCAAGTGATCATCCCTCAGGATCGTCTCCCTTGGATCATTTTGATGTTAAATATAATTGACTTTCTACTGATGCTCAAATACAAATGTAAATAATAACTTGTATGACAATGCCAGGCAACATCTTATGTAAAGTAGCTAGCAGCTATTACTGTTAAGGAGAATTTAATGAGTTTCAGTCTCCAGGGCCAGATTAACTACATTGTGTGATACAGTAGAAACTTAATAGTCTCGCTAAAACTTTTATTTTTTTTTTCCTTTCAAGAAATCTTTAAGAAGTGGAGGAAGTCACATATTCTCTCTGTATTTAAAAAAGGGAGGAAGGGACAATCTGGGGATTTGCAGACTAATCAATCTCTGACTTATCTGAAAAAATTATAGTACAGACTCAAAAAGTGATCTGTAAGCACCTTGAAAACAGGGCAATAATTGTCCACAACCTGGATATGGATGAAACTTTGAAATTTAAGAAATTTTGCAGAATATTTTCTAGGACAACACAAAGAGGAATCTTACCATGATATATTTGTAAAATTTACAAGACATATTGGAACTTCTTTAAAACCTGGAAATATAATTATTTTTTTTAAACAAATATACCTCCAGGCATACTCAAGAAAAGGAAAAAATATGAGCTTTTACTACTGTTTAGTGCAGCGGTTCTCAACCTATGGGTCGCGACCCCATTTGGGGTCGATCGACCATTTTTCGGGGGTCGCCAAAGGCGGCGATCTGCCATTTTCTCCCCTCCGGGGGCGGTGCTGCGCATGCACGCTGCGCATGGGGGAGGTGCTGTGCCGTGCATGCGCATAACGTTTGTGTGACGGGGGTAGCCGTCACACAAACGTTGAGAACCGCTGGTTTAGTGGTTAAGGTACTGGGTCTGTAAACCAGGACACTGTGAGTTCTAAGTCTTCCTTAGGCATGAAAGCCATCAAAGTGACTCTCAGCCTAACTCACCTGATTGGGTTGTTGTGGGGAAAATAGGAGGAAGAAAGAGTTAATTATGTTCGCCACCTTGAGTTATTTATAAAAATAATAAAGGGAGGATATAAATACTTTTTTGCTACTAGTTCATACAGTTAGACTACTTTTTATAGAGTCTTTCTCTACGGATGCTGGCAAAATGTGAACTCCACTGAATATGTCAATATTCTCTCCCTTATTTATATTTTGGAAATATAAACATCCTAGGAAGAGAGTTTATTATTCTTCAGTTCATAAAACAAACCCAATAATAGATATGAGTAGGATTTTTAATTCATTGTTACTAATTTTATAGATGTAAAATTAGAAACTCCTATTGGATTACCGTTAAAATTCAATAACTGTAAGACTAAATACAGAAACTTCCAAATTGAAAAAAAAGGAGATAAATGAACTTTTATTATCACAAGAGGATATTAGATTGAAGTATCATCATGAACTAAGAGCTTTCCCCAAATCAGTTTAAATCTTTAATGTTTCTTTGCCAACTGGATGGAATGAGAACAAATAAACAAATAAGAAACAATATAGAATATACATTGCTGAATGAACAAACAATTAGAACCAATTTTGGATTAAGTACAAAGGATAAACGCAATCAACAAAATTGATTGCTTGTTAATGCAAGTATACAAGACTTACAAGAAACTGAATTTGTTAAACTGAAATGTTTTGAGAAAGGCAACCTCAAATAAATTGTTGGCCTAGTAAATGCATAAGGAAAAAACAAATGAACTATTATTTCTATTTGGGATAGTACCAAATATTGCTTGATGAAGCAATCTACTTATTATTAATCCAGATTTTATAATAAACAGACATTTTATCAAGAAATATTGAAGAATATTAAGCCAAACCTTACAAAAATACAACTCAACAAAAACAAACATTCATTCACTCAATATATGTATGTATTCAACCCAGACATTCATCTGTTGGACTTTGAAATAATTAACTTAGTTTTCTGCCCAGGCTTGGACGCATTAGGCTAAGAACCTCCTTTTAAATATATGCTTTTGTGATATACATAGAAAGATGAATATAACATTTATAACAGGCCTCATATATTTCTCTATATTTCTCGCAACAGACAAGCCTAAAAGATGAATCTGAATCTTTGGAATACCAAAGATATATTTATGACTCCAACAAAAGTGGGGTAAGAAGCTTATTGCTGCCATTGCTATTGATTTGTATTATTTTGTAATGATCAACACTGTGATTTTCAAACCATGATTTTTTTTAAGTTGAAAGCAAGATGTGGTCAGTAATACTCACAATTTGTTCAGTGTGGTCCTTATGTCAAATTCTTGTTAAAAGTAATCTTAAATGGAGGAGATCAGGACTGGATTAGAACAGGACTGGATAGAGGGTTTATAGGTATAGCTCATTTCTACAAATTATACTGTGATTTGACTGTAATGTCCTGATTGAATCTTTGAGACAATACATGCAATACATTGTAGTTTAAGATTTGGACAAATTGTTGTTGTCTTAAGTAGTTCACTCACTTGACCAATACAGGGGCAGAGGTTCACTGGAACAATCAGAATTGGTTTGATGGATCGGCCTAAATAAAGTCCATCTAATCTAGCTTCCTGTTTCTGGCAAAAGATAGTTGGATGCCTACTCATAAGCAGAGAACTGAAGTAATAGCCATTTTTGTCCCCCATAGTTCATATTGATAGGAATCCAGTATAGTACTCTTTATTTGGCAGTTCTGTTTAGGTGCTTGCAATGACTAGTATTTCTAAAGGAATTTCAAATCAGGAAAGTTATTGCTTAATCATCCATGAAAATATGTCATCTTAAGTGCTATTTATTTTATAAATATGTTGTATATATTAAATGTTCTTAAATGCATATTTAATTGCTCTGTTATTTTTGTTTTGTTTCGTTAATTGCCTTGGGCATTACTTTTGGCTGGAAAGGCACAGCATAGAATTAAATAGATGCATAAGCTTTTCTCTGATATTGCACTCATGAGAACAGTAGTTTGTTCATGTCAGAACTGATTTCATGAGATCTGAATAATTCCCAGTGATCAAAACACCATACTATCCTGCCTTTTAGAATAGGAAATCATAGTTGCCTCAGTGAATTTACATCAAAAACATTTGTTTAGTTTATTTACAAATTTAAAAACAAAGGATGCCACTCATGAGGATGCATTTTGAAGCCAATAGTTTTATAAATTAATGAAATCTATAATATGAACTTACAAAGTCAATGCTGCTAATATTTCTTGTGATGTACAAATATACCTACTAAATTTGAGAGAAAGTATAGTTTGCTGTTTTTTTCGGCAAGCCTTTTTCAGATTGGAACATCGGTCTGATGTTTACTGGAGGAGAAATATTAAAATATGCATAAGTTATTGTTTGACTGCCAGATTAAATTTCTGGAGGCTTTATAAGCATTTTATTGCTGTGATTTCTCTTGTGCTTTATTATGTGAAAAGGCCTCTTCAGTGTTGATGCACTAAAATGAATCATAATGCTCAAAATATAATTTACTCATTATACAACAGTATAGGATATTTTACATGCTTATGAGCTTGGGTATGAGCTTCTGATTAGACTTTATTTCTTTATCAAATCAAATTGCAATAGCTCTTCCAAGAACAAACATATTTTTCCCTGTAGATTAACCAGAACAAAAAATGGCAAAGGTTTTTTTTTAAAAAAAAAAAACACGACAGACAAGGAGAGAAAGAAAATAGAACATTCTATAATCAAGATAATCAGTATGCTAATTGCAATGCAGTTAAGTGAGGAATGGCGTCCAACCGATCATGTACTATCTATATCATACTAGTAAAACTGTAGTGAAAATTTACCAATGTAGGTACCATATTCCCTGCCCCCTTGCTTTGCTATGATGATGGTAAAAAGAAGAAAATTAATGCAAGAAAATAATTATAAACAACACAAAAAAGGTAAATTAATAGAATTTGTAAAGCAGAAGGTATTAACATGGAAATAGTGTAATTAATATTTCTGACACGAGTTCCCATTTAAATAATCACATGCTGCTTGATTGTGTTATGAGTTAGGATTAGGGGTTTGGATTTTTTTAAAATAAAGCTCTGGAGTTAAGCTTATTAGATTCATATCCAAATCGCTTCCAGTATTACGGTTTTTTTCTCAGTGCACATAAGGAGCACGTTAGCCCAAGAAAACTCATGAAGAAAATCTCAAAGGGAGGAAGGAATTATCCTTTTTGAAGATAGCACTGAAGTTCTTTCTTTAGGACTATGAGATACATTTGATTTTCCAACTAATGATACAGAGTTTTATAAACCCTGGAGAAATAGAAGCTCCAGATGCTGGATGGCTACTCTTTTTGGCGTTGATCATCTCGTGCCAGCTTAATTTTGAGGTATTTATGTAGCTTGCATATTTTCCAGGAAGATACACTGAACTGTAGCAGCCGATTTAAAATATCTGAATTGTTTGTGCTTGTTGAACCAGGAAGCACACTGTGACACAGTATATATTCAGTTTGGATATACAGTTCAGATTTTGTCGCAGTGTGTGCTATGGATAAATTTATCTGAGGGCAAAAATTAATTTCTCACAGATATGCTGACACAATCCATTTCAGGACTGGGAAACAGTCGACTCAGAGGATGCAAAGGAGAAAAAAAAATTAAAAATTGGCAGAGATTATACTGTTTGAGCTATTGGTGTAGCCAGGCCAAGGAAAATCATTTTTTTATTAACACAATATTGAGACTAGGTAAATAATACATTTTAATATTTGGATAGTTTTTTTTACAAAGAGAGAACTTGGCCCTAATTAGGAGCTAAATGCATAATCCGAGGCATCAGGTTGCCTCTATACATATTTTGAATGCTAAATACTTTATTTAATTATTACATGTATATGCTGCCCATCTCATCAGAGATGACTCTAGGTAGCTTACAAACATTAAAATGAGTACACATTAAAATAATAAAACAAAAAATAAAAAGGATAATAATAATAATAATAAAGTTGGAAGGGACCTTGGAGGTCATCAAGTCCAACCCCCTACTCAGGAAGGTCCTATACCATTTTGGACAAATGGCTGTCCAGTCTCTTCTTAAAAACTTCCAGGGCTGGAGCATTCACCGCTTCTGGAGGCAGGTTGTTCCACTGGTTAATTGTTCTAAATGTCAGGAAGTTTCTCCTTAGTTCTAGGTTGCTTCTCTCCTTGATTTAATTTCCATCTGATAATATATACATTGTTAAAAGATGGGGAGTAGGGGAACACAGAGTGCACAGGGAAAGGTGGAATCTTTCCTAATCCAATAGCCACCTCCAGAATGGTGCATCTCCATTGGTACCCCAGCCCAGTTGGCAAAGCCGGGTCTTCAGGCCCTTACAGATGGTCAAAAGGGTGGGTATGGATCTCATCTTGGTGGGTACAGTGTTACAAAGGGCTGGAACCTTGGCAGAAAAGACTCTTCTCCTGCATCTCGGCAGCTGAAAATCCTTGACTGACAGGGTTTGCAGCTTGCCCCCCTCTGCCGGGATGGATGGGGCAAGCCAATGCTGTTAGGATGAGACATTAACTAAACATCAGGTCTTGATACAGCAAAGTAACCCCAAACCATAACATTTCCACCACCATGCTTTACAGTTGGCATCAGGTTCTTATGGTGAAATACTGTCTTTGGTTTTCACCAAACATGTCTTCTGGTCCTGTGGCCAAATAACCCTACCTTTGTCTCATCTGTCCAGAAGGCATTGTTCTAGAATATTGTTCTTTGCCTATATGTTCATGAGAAAACTATTTGAAATCTTCAGATATCCACTTGTAGATAATGTTCCGCACAGTAGAATGATTGATGTTCATTTATTTAGCAATCAATTTTTAAGTCCCTTTTAGCCATCTTATTTTTTCTGAAAGCCTCAGAGAGCTTTTTCCGTCTGGGCATGATGATAGCACACACTTCAACAACAAAGAGGCAAATCACAGTAAATCTCAGAGCTTTCAATAAGCCAGGCTTCAACCAGATCCTCTCTAATGATATTCTAATCATTTTCACCTGATCTGGTGCACCTGATTCTAATTTTAGGTGTCTGAGGTAATGGTAGGGGTGTAGTTATTTTTTTTCACATGCAAAATTTGCTTTTACGTTTATTTAAATTACATGATGCATTACACAGTGCATGATATTTTAACCCTTCTATCAGTATTGACACACCGATCAAATATATGAATGTATCTTACCGCTGTGAGTATATATAACCCATGCTATAAATCAAAGCAGTTCTAGGAAACATTTTGATGTGAAATTATTGCAGATGTTTCTCTGCATGGTTTGCTATTTTAAAATACCAAGTTCCATCATTAGTGTAGGACAGAGGAAAAGTACATTGTGGTAGGTGGTATTCACTTGCTGTTTAGAGATATAATTTTTGCATAGCATAGGGCTTTGTCTGCATCTGGTGTACGGCTAAATTCATGCTTTGGTTTTATTTTATTTCTAGGAACATTTGCATATTTATTGCATTTCCACAATCGCTTGCTTCCCAATCATTTTCCTGATATGACAGTATTTCTAATCCAACATGCTCAAGTTTCCTATAACTAGCGATGAAAAAAGGGAAAGGTATACTTTGTTGAAATAGAGCTGCTGACGTCACATAAACATGACAGTGTTTGACTTGTACCAAAGCACTACCTGAAAGATTCTGAAAAATAAAAACACCTGGCATATAAGATGGCAGACAGCAGATGCTGACATAAAAAAGCAACTTCTTAAACATTACATGAATTGTGTAGTCAAATCAGAATTTCATCCATGCAAACTTTATGGCAGGGGTCTGTAATCCCTGGGCCACGGCCCTCTACTCGGTCATTGTCTGCTTGGAATCGGGCCGCACAGGTGGCAGGCAAACGTGTGTACACATGCATATAACTCCGTGTGTGTGAGTGCGCCCACCACTTGCATAAATGGAGTTGCATAGAACCATCCTCTCCCCTCCCCACCAGTCTGACAAGCCAGAAAAGTTGGGGAGCGCTGCTCTATGGGATTTCCAATGAGAAAGAATACCAGTCCAAAATGAGATTTTTAGGTCACAGGTAAATGCAAAACCAAAGCATTTATGGAGTGAAAATATTGACTATAGAGCTAGGCCAATTATTTCTTTTTTTTTTAATTTTAATTTTAATTTTAGACCAACAAAACAAAACAAAATACAGCAAAACATTACACACATACATACATAATATATCCTTTTTTGTTAACAGCAATTTGTAACAGTAGTCTTCTATTATTTACATTTCCCCCCTCATTCTTCTTTGAAATATTTGTCTTTATTGCCCCATTGTTTCTTATTTACATTTTCCTTCTTTCATATTCTACTACTTACTAGGAATAATTCATATTATTATTATTATTATTATACATTATTATACACATATCGCCTCTACCAACACCTCATTTTAAATTTCCAACATTATTCATTGTAGTAACTCTCGTATTTTTTATAAGACTCGATCGGGATTCCATCTAAGGCCAATTATTTCTTATTAGTTCTATATTTTAAATCATAAGGCATGAAGATTGCCTCACAGTTTCAGTTCCTTAATGAAAATATGTCAGGATAGCTAGACACTGAATGTATTTTTATTAAGGAGTTTGGACTAACTTAGGAATCACAGCACAGGTAGTCTTCAATGTACGACCACAATTGAGCCAAACATTTCTTTACTAAGTGAAATATTTGTTAAGTGAATTTTAGCCCATTTTATGACCTTTCTTGCTACAATTGCTTAGTGAATCACTGCAGTTATTAAGTTAATAACACGGTTGTTAAGTGAATCTGGCTTCCCCATTGACTTTGCTTGTCAGAAGGTCGCAAAAGGTGATCACATGACCCCAAGACACTGCAACTGTCATAAATATGAGTCAATTGCCAAATGTCTGAATTTTGATCACATGGCCAGGTGATCATGGTCGTAAGTGTGAAAAACGATCAGAAGTAACTTTGAACAGTCACTAAATGAACTATTGTAAGTCGAGGACAACCCCAAAAAAGAAAGTAATGATATTTGTTTACTAATAAGGAACTTTTTTCTTACTTCTCTGTTTAGTTAAATGGATTACCACAGTAACTTAAAAATACCTGTTATGATTTGTTCATGCCTCTTGCTTGAGGCATTCCTCTTTCCTTTTTCAGGTCCCATAAATCATCTGGCTGGACCAGCGCTCCCAACGAACATAACAGTCTGAGTGATTCTCAGTTCCTTTTTGGCTCCCAGTTTTGCCCAGAGAATTCACAGTGTGCTTCAGCCTCAGCTGAATTTAGTATCCCACAAAGGCAGGACAAAGGCTCACAACAGAATTCTCAGGAAGTGAGTCCAATGTGTAGCGTACGCTGTACTGTATTACACAGGCTCAATAGTCAAAATTAGAATGTGATGATATTCTTTCTGCAAAAGCTGGATGTTAAATATTAGACTCAAAAAAATCCCAATAAAACAGCATAGGGCAAGACTTAAAATTTACCCAAGATCTTGGCCCAAATGTTCCTACTGATCAATGGGGTATCAAGTCTTTTTTAAAAATTGTGTAGCACAAATATTATATAGATTTTTTAAAATAGAAACGTTTCTGATCATAGATAAAAACAATAATGTTTTTGTTTATTTTCTCACATAAGAGATATTTATATCTAATTAGATTTGTATCTAATTTTCTTAGAAATATCTTTCATGGCCATTGTAATCCATGGTAGCTAATCAGAACTTTTGAGAGAGGCTGCATTTTCATCAGCGTTTAGCACAAGAGCTGAGTAGGAAGAAGTTGCAGAAAGTCCCATGCTATTTTCTTTCCTTGATGTGGTTGGGAGAAAAATAGCAGCTTCTGTATTTCTTTCTGATGTGTGGAACTTGTTATTGATTAATGTGTGTTTTATTTATTATGAATAATCTTAACTATAGATAAGATAAGATATGATAAGATAAGATAACCTTTATTGTCATTTTTATACTGTGGGCACAGTGGCACAATCAAAAATGAAATTTAGTTGCCCGCTCTCAAAGTGAAACATACATGACACACACCTAAACATACTATGAACAACATATGTATAGACCTACATCCCTACATATATGTAGCAAATAAATATTAAATATTGTCCATCTTGAATATATAATGGAAGGAGGAAGCTTGAGAGTTCACAAGGTTAATGCTGTATGGAATGAAACTCTTGGCTGAATCTGGATGTTCTGCTTCGGATACCACGAAGCCTCCTCCCAGAAGGTAACAAGGAAAACAGGTCATGAAGAGGATGTGTAGTGTCCCAGTTAATCTTGTGGACCCTGCTCAAGCAACGCTTCTGGGCTATGTCCTAGATGGGAGGGAGGGAACTACCCATGATCTTTTTGGCCATTCTCACCACTCTCTGCACCGCCTTCCTGTGTGAAGCAGTGATGCCTCCAAACCAGATGTCAGCGTCAGTACTGCTGATTCCATATTGCTTCCTTGAGCCTAAACATAGTTATTATTAATTACAATTTGTCTTCTGTTGTACTAAACAGTTTGTCAATTGCTAAACTAGTCAGTAGAGGCTTCCATATATTTCCTTCTAGCCGTACCAAAAAAGAGATGGCATGTAGGGATAAGGAGAATACACATCTGAGCCAGGAGCTTGCAGTAACTTCTGATACAATGATGGCGAACCTTTTGGGCTCGGTGTGTCAAAAATTTGGAAAAATGCCTAACTTGACTGCTGATGTATATCTCTCTCTCTCTCACACACACACAGACATCTGAACAAAAGACAGTTTTTTACATATTCATTTATTTTTTAAAAATACAGTTGCATTGAAGCAGCTCTGAGTTGCACAAGGTTTTCGTTCTTGAAGTGGCTTTCCTCAGCAGCCTCCAAAAACGGTGTGAAAGCACAGCACGTTTTCATGTAATTTTTAGATGCTCCAGAAAGGCTACGCAAGAGCCCGGCCCTTTTGCACGACTTCTGGAAGGTTCGGAGGCTGTACAAGAGTAGACCCCATTCTCACATAGTTTCATCCAGACCCATGCTATAGGTTCACCATCACTATTCTAGTACCTTGTATCACACTAAAGTATGGTTTATTGATAGTTGAACATGATTGCAATGAATCCAAGCTGATGGAATGCAAAGCTAGAAAACACTTTCATGGTTCCTGATGGGTTTCCTAGATATACTATATTGAATCATATAAAAGCTAAGATGATGTATTAGAGCAACTTTTGGTTTAATCAAATAGGATGCTATAGTATCACTTTCACGTTACCCAAAATTTCTGGCAAATTTCATGCTGTTTGTAATGGAAGTGAAATGATTCCTCTGTTTTTCATTACAAACCAATACCTTTAAATAGGCAGTGAGGGGATTTGCCATTGTGCTGTTTTCTGGAACGTTACCAGTTCTCCAGAATTTCTTGAAGAAAATACATAGGATTCAAATAGGCTACCAGCTGGCTCCTTTAGTATTCTAGGATATATTTAATTAAACCTTGGATATTAGTTACCATAAGAACCTTCTGACTGAATGGGATTGTAAATATTTTTGGGGAAAAAAATACAATTCTATCTAGTGCACCCACTCATACAAGTATATTTAGCAGTGACTGAATGTCACTGATTTGTCCTTTTCTTAATTTATATTAAACACATTTTTTCATTTTTCCTGATAAAAACAGAATGATATCAGTATTTTTGCCAAATACCAGTCTAAACCACAGCTCTTTGGAAAAGAGGAAAGGGAAAATGTCTCTCTTAATAATTTTGCTGGAAGATTCAAAGGAGTCATGGAGCAATTTGAAGAAAACAAGAAAAAGATCAAGGAAAAATATGATAAGTATGCAGACATTTCTGCAATTATTTTTTCCTCCTATTAAAAACAATACTGTACAACTATATAAGCTCTTCAAGAAATAGTTAGGGTTAGGATATTTTATATCATCTGAATTTGGATGAGAAATTGTCTAATACCAGTAGGAAAGTCCACATGGAAATAGCCTTTATAGTTAGAGAGAATGGCAGCATCTTGCAACAATGGCTGAAATTATTTGAAGAAGGACTCACATCTTGTGAATTTATCTGTCTGCAAAAAATTAAAAAAAATTAAATGGGAGAAGAATGATGTCTGCAATCAGGAAGTATGTATATATATATATACATACACCAGCTGTTGGCTGGTGTATGTATGTATATATATACATACATACATACATACATACATACATACATACATATATGTGGGTCTTTGGTTGCTCGGGTTTTCTCCCGTGTAAAGTTGGGAGTGTCTTGGCAACGTTGCGACGAAGTCCCATTCGTCATCTTCAGGCTGGTGTTTTCAGCTTCGTTGCTCCTCGAAGCACGAAGCTGAAAACATCAGCCTGAAGATGACGAATGGGACTTTGTCGAAACGTCGCCAAGACACTTCCAATTTTACGCGGGAGAAAACCCGAACAACCAAAGACCTACATACAAACACCCGCGAAAACCTCAGAAAATAAATATGTATGTATGTATGCATGCATGTATGCATGCATGCATGTATATATTTACATAAACTATCAAATACATATACATGCATTGAAAATATGCTCTAAGATCAGTAGTAAGTTGGAAGGGGGACACATATTGAATGATGTCTGTGTACTTTCTTATTGGTCATTGCTTGTTTTATTGTATTCCCTGTATGTTTTCAGTGTTTTTAGATCTGTAGACATTAGAAAGACTAAGAGTCAAATTTAAACTGCTTTTTGAGGAATTGGAGATGGAAATGCTATATGTGAAAATGCTTGTAAATACCAGTATATGCATAATATAAAGACGTATAAGAGCTCACTGGTTCCATTTATCTTTTCTTGTTAAATTCTGCATTTAATTAATTTGGCTGGCATCTCTCCTTTAGTGCTAGCCATCTGACAGCATTTCAGAAAGACCCATCAGCTTGGGATTTTTACTAATGGAATTTATTTGGCTGTAAAAATGAATGTTTCATTAATATTTTAATATGGAATTAAGGCATTTCCAACCCACATATTATTGTTTATTGCACAAACACTCTCGTGAGATTCTCCTAGTTTTTCCTATCCATTTTCTTCTGATTACTGTACATACAAAGTTAGTAATTCCCCAACATGTCTCTTTCAGTGACCTTTTAAATGCTTTTATTTTGAACACCAAAGAAAGTCTTCAAAAAGTAAGTGAAAGTTTGATTGTCAGAAGTTGAAAGTAGGGGTGGGAAAGTTGCATTACATTTTGATATTTTGTCTTTCTTATTTACTATTTGATAAAATATAATTGCAACTTCTCTATTGATTCAGCTGAAAACATTAATACTCAGAACGTATAATAAAAGAAATGAACACCCATTAGCCAACAACATTATTAATTTATTTTTCAGTTGCAGTCCTCCTTCAGCATGTTAGAAGAAATTCTAAAATCTGTTTTGGATGATTTGGGAAATATTTCTAAGACAAGTAAGTATGTGGAATATTTCTGTATCTAACAGAAAACAAAATCAGATGAGTCTCTGTACTGACCTATTCCATTGTGGGAATATTTCATGATACCCTGGATAATCTATATCTATATGCCTATGTCTGTCTGTCTGTCTGTCTGCGGGAATATTTCCTGATGGTATGGTTTACCCTGGATAAACTATATCTATATGCCTATGTCTGTCTGTCTGTCTGTCTGTCTTTATCTATCTATCTATCTATCTATCTATCTATCTATCTATCTATCTATCTATCATCTCCTGCCTTTATTATTTTTATAAACAATTCAAGGCAGCAAATATACATAATACTACTACTCCTATTTTCCCTACAACAACAATGCTGTGAAGTGGGTTGGATGAGAGAGAGTGACTGGCCCAATATCACCCAGCCGGCTTTTAGGCCTAAGGCGGAACTAGAACTAACAGTTTCCCAGTTTCTAGCCTGGTGCCTTCACCACTAAACCAAAGAAGATTGCTGAAAAATTCCTGAAAGATTGGGCAAGCAATACCCATTGGTCGTGATGCCTATATACGATATCCCATATAACAGATAACATACCTTAAAATAATAGCTGATGGGAGAAGCATGAAAAATGTTGATACTTGCTTGTGTTTCTCAACTTCCCAAACATATCTTGCTGGTCATTGTGTGATACAGAATGCTGGACATTTTGCCTGATCTAGCCAGACTGTACTTGTATTCTTACCAGAAGAATGCTAGGCAGCTATAAGAAAGAAAGTTTTGTGAACCATGATTTTCCAATCAAAAATGTTTAAATTTAAAAGGAGTGACTGACATCTTATTATCTGTAAGAGGTTGTTTTCCTATATTTAGGCCATATGAATAATTTAAATGTTTTATTCTGTCCTGTTTGGGTTCCTACCTCATTTATTGGTAATAATATTAATATTATATATTTTAACACTTACTTAAATCTTAATTATTATGATGAAGACCAACATTTCAGAACAAATACAAGATACTAAGTAGTAGAAACAAGTATTTCCAAGATAATCAAAGTAGGATGTGCAAGGACCATGAAAATATCTAAAATACTAAGGAAAGAGAATTTGGATATATATCTTAGCTTACTTTCTATATAGCTATATTTACTCATCATGTATTACCTTGAAACTGCAGTTCTTTGTTTTCTCCAAAACACTTACACAACCATAAACCACTTGGCAAATAAAACATTCTGTTTAGATAGTAAACACTAAAAGTGATTCACTGTAAAAGTCCTGCATCCTTCACTTGGCCATCTGGAATTCTTCCTACGTGTCCTCCTTATTCCTTCTTTTTTTTTTTTTTTCCAGTAGTTACCTTGGAACAAATCCCAGTCTTCTTTTTAGTCCTCCAAGTTCTGGAAAAGCACACTTGATATTTACCACAAATGTACCACAAACACATAGCAGAGTGTTACAGTATATGCATGATGAAAATGAATCCACCGCTTTCAATATATTCCCCTCTCTGTCCACATGGATTCATCTTTGTAAGAATGCTAATAAATATGCTTTTTGACTTGGTACACAGTGATGATTAAATATCTTCCTACCATCTAAATAACAAGGAGACATGAAAAGAAACTGTGTTCTCCATTGAAGCCCAATATCTTATCTTCTGGATGTAGTTCATGCTTTCCCCCAATGTATTTAAGAATGCAATTGTCCCTTCAAAAAAATTTGGGAGGAACTGTTTATATTCATTTGTATTGGTCAGTAGAAAAGCAGCAATGAATGAGCTGGTGAATTAGATTTCACAGATGTCATTAGATGGGCAATGTCCAGAACCCTAGATGCTATGAATAGAAACCTTTTCTGTTTTGAGATTGCGACCTCCTATAAAGAAGGCAATGATTTAGCTTCTGATTTAAAGTTGCTGTTTGGGGAAAACAGATATGCATTCATAGCTAAACAAGTTCTGCTATCTATTTTTGGCTCTGTGTTTGTGCAGTTCTTCAGCGATTGAATAATTGCATTGACATGCCCCATTGATGCAGCACAGTAGGAACAGTGTTATAATAAAGGCTTCAGAAGACATTTAAGCACTCCATGCTGCTGTGCAAAGATGTTTATACACTGCCAGAGCTTATGGCAAAGTTTTACAGGTAGCTTAATCTTTTTTTTTAAAAAAAACTGATTTTTCATGGTCATAAAAACATCATAAATATATAAATCTACTTAGTAATTTGAACTAATTGTAGCAGTATAGCTGAGCTAGCAGGGTAAAAGAATTGAGGTCTCATACATTTTCTCACAGAAGTCTTGTGGATCTTCAGATCCTGGCTCACCCTCCCTGGGGTAGTTCTTGTTGTCATCACTTATTGTCCAAGGGTTACCTCATGCAGAGTCCATTGGAGTTGGGAGGGTTACAAATTCAAATAAATACATAAATAAATAAATCTAATATAATAATAATAATAATAATATCCTTCAAGCTGACAACATCAAGCATACTGAAGTCAAGAAAAAGATTAGAGGTGAATACATCAAAAGAGTGAAGAAGATCTTAAAGTCCAAACTCAATAGAGGAAATACCATAAAGGCAATCAACACCTGGGCAATTCCAGTCATTAGGTACACAGCTGGAATAGTGGACTGGACTCAAGCAGAACTAAAAGCAATGGATAGGAAGACCAGAAAAATAATGACAATGAATCATGCCCTTCATCCACGCAATGACATTGACAGACTTTATCTACCAAGGCAAATAGGTGGGCGTGGAATGTTACAAGTACATCAGATGGTTGAAGAAGAAAAAATGGCTGCTTCCATCCTGCAACGATATCTGTAATACCATCAAACATCCACATCTGCCTATCCCAGGTCCTGGGTAAGGACTCGATAGGTAGACAAAATGCCAAATCCAGTCTGAACATCTAGCTGACTGTGCGATGATCCATAATAATAATAAAGTTGGAAGGGACCTTGGAGGTCATCTAGTCCAACCCCCTGTTCATGCAGGAAACCCTATACCATTTCAGACAAATGGCTGTCCAGTCTTTTCTTAAAAACTTCCAGTGTTGGAGCATTTACCACTTCTGGAGGCAGGTTGTTCCACTGGTTAATTGTTCTAACTGTCAGGAAGTTTCTCCTTAGTTCTAGGTTGCTTCTCTCCTTGATTAGTTTCCATCCCTTGCTTCTTGTCCTGCCTTCAGGCGCTTTGGAGAATAGCTTGACTCCCTCTTCTTTGTGGCAGCCCCTGAGATATTGGAGCACTGCTATCATGTCCCCCCTCGTCCTTCTCTTCATTAAACTAGACATACCCAATTCCAGCAACCGTTCCTTATATGCTTTAGCCTCCAGTCCCCTAATTACCTTTGTTGCTCTTCTCTGTACTCTTTCTAGAGTCTCAACATCTTTTTTACATCGTGGTGACCAAAACTGGATGCAGTATTCCAAGTGTGGCCTTACCAAGGCATTGTAAAGTGGTATTAATACTTCACGTTTCTCCCATATCTTCCTATGAGACGGGGTTGCTACAACCCATGTTGCTGGTTTTTTTTCTGGAAAATTGTGAGAGAAACATAAATAAATAAAAATGATATAATGCCACCTCCTGGCCTTGTGACACTGAGGCACATAGCTATGGAAATCAGCCCTTCTTTCCCCTCTTCTTTGGGAGACAGATCAATCTCACAAGAAATAAATAAAATCTAACTACATTTTTAAAAAGTATATAAAACAGACCTCCAGGTAGTCAAGAAAGTTAAATACCTGGGGATATATTCAACTGCAAGGTTGCAACAATAAAAGAAGATAATTATGTAAAACCATTAAAACAAATAAAACTAGACCTGGGAAAATCTACAACTATCAATATTGGGAAGAATAGCGACGGTGAAAATGAACATTTTACCCAAACTACTTTTTTTATTTCAAACAATGTCTATAAAAATTGAGATTTTTTTTGATGATTTAAATACATTGATTTTGAAATTTATCAAGTAGCTGCATTAACATGGTTAAAAGAATGGATAACTCTTAGACACAAAAGATTACTATACTTAGAAGGACACAACCTACAACTTGGATGGCACACTTTCCTATAGTATGGGAAGAACAAAATCCATAAATACTTTCAAAATCACTATGTAAGAAATGCTTTGCTTCTAACATGGGAAAAGATAAAAACAAAAATTTAATACCAGGATGGATCTCAATAATAGAAGCGTTTGTGCACCCAAATTTAATTAACTATGAAAAACCTGTGACTTATAGAGATATTTTGAATACTGAAGGGAAATTACAAACTAAACAAGCACTGGAAGAACAGGGCATTGAGCTATCATGGTGGCCACACTTGCAAATGCAAATGAGATATGAGAAACATGGTTTTTATAAAGACCAGACAATGTTTGACCAAATACTATTGTCATCAGATGAAAAATTGATTAAGAAACTGTATAGCTTTTTGTTAAACTTAAAGATGGAAGATGAACAAGTCAAAGAATCAGGGATAACATGGGCAAAAAAGTTTGGGCACAATGTAGAGTTAGAAAAATGGCAAAACCTGTGGGAAAGAAACTGTAAAATAACAAGGGCAGCTACCTATAAAGAAAAATTATATAAAATATTTTATAGATAGCATTTACAACCTGCAAGATTAGCAAAAATGTTTAAAAACATGTCTAGCAATTGTTGGAAATGTAAGCAAAAGCCAGGCAGGTATTACCACCTTTGGTGGATATGCCCTAAAGGAAAAAAATTCTGGTCAAAAATACATATGTAGTTAGAGAAAATGATAAGAAAACATGTTGATTTTAAGCCGGAACTATTTCTTTTAGATATAATATCAGAAAACTATGATAAAGAACGTGTATATTTAATATTACATGTACTAACAGCAGCGAGAATTACATTTGCACAGTATTGGAAAAATGAAGAAACACCAACTGAAGAAGACATAATTAAGAAAATTCTGGACTGTGCAGAAATGGATAGGAGATTAACAGCTGGGAATCCTTGACCTCT